GAGAGAGAACATCGATCGGCTGCCTCCTGCACGCCCCACACTGGGGAGGGAGCCCACAGTCCGGGCCTGTGCCCCGACCGGGAATCCAACCCTGACCTCCTGGCTCATAGGTTGATGCTCAACCACTGGGCCACCTGGCCGGGCATTTCTGGTGGTTTTAGTCGGAGGGAAACCCTGTGGAGAGCCTCGCTCGGTTTGCGGCACCCCAATCTCATGCTCACTGCCGCGCGCACCCCCGGGCACGCCGGAACGGGCACCTGGAGGCCTCAGGCCACCGGGCCGCAGACCGAGCCCTCCCCCGTGTGACGGTAGAGAGACTGAGGGGCGGGGAGCGAAGTCCCTTAAGATAAAGCCCGTCACGCCCAGGGCTCCGCTGGGTGCCACACGGGATGCCCACTCACCGCCCGCTGGCCCAGGCAGCAGAGAGCCAGAGCAGAGTGCGTGGCAGTGCCCGCGGGCCTTATAAGGCAGCCCCGGGAAACTTGGCTGCTGTCAGCGCAGAGCGGGGTGTGTGTGTGTGTGTGTGTGTGTGTGTGTGGAAGTGGGGGGGCAGGGATGGACTCCCAGGCGAGGCAGAGCCAGCAGCCGCCCCACAGACAGGATTCCGGGTTCCACAGCCCAGCCCCGCCCAGAGCCGCTGGGCAGAGGGCAGGTCTGTGGGGGGCAGGTCTGCGGGGGCAGGTCTGCGGGGGGCAGGTCTGCGGGGGGCAGGTCTGCGGGGACAGGTGTGCGGGGGGGGCAGGTGTGCGGGGGGGGGGGGGCAGGTGTTCAGGGGGCAGGTGTGCGGGGGGCAAGTGTGCGGGGGCAGGTGTGCGGGGGGCAGGTGTGCGGGGGGCAGGTGTGCGGGGGCAGGTGTGCGGGGGCAGGTCTGCGGGGGCAGGTGTGCGGGGGGCAGGTGTGCGGGGGCAGGTCTGCGGGGACAGGTGTGCGGGGGCAGGTGTGCGGGGGCAGGTGTGCAGGGGGCAGGTGTGCGGGGGCAGGTGTGCGGGGGCAGGTCTGTGGGGGGCAGGTGTGCGGGGGGCAGGTCTGGGGGGACAGGTGTGCGGGCTCTTATCTGACCGGAAGTATCTGCCGGCGCGGGTGAGAACAGGCCTCCCCCTGCTCCCGCATTCCTCCACGGAGCACACGGGGTTCTTAAAACACAGACAACCCCACCCCCTCCAGTGCCCTAGAACCTGTGGGGGGCTCGGAGGGAATTCTGAAGAATACAGAGCGAACATTATGAGTTTAGCCCTCACCGGTTTGGCTCAGTGGATGGAGCGTCGGCCTTCAGACTGAAAGGTCCCAGGTTCGATTCCGGTCAAGGGCATGTACATTGGCTATGGGCACATCCCCAGTAAGGGGTGTGCAGGAGGCAGCTGATCTATGTTTCCCTCTCATCAATGTTTCTGACTCTCTATCCTCTTTGTAAAAAATCAATAAAACGTATTAAAAAAAAAAAAAGTTTAGTCATTGGTAAGTTTTTGTTTCTAATTTCTGTATTTCCTGGGTTTTAAAGCAAAGGTACGATGCTAACCCCCTTTCTACGTTAGACACTCTGGCAGAGGAAAGAGGGCCCACATACAAACAATTCACACCCCAAGCCCCACGCGAGTATTACACACGAGGACGACGGGAGAAGGCCTGGGAGTCAGAGAGGCAAGGCTGCTTCTGCGTGTGGGAGGGCTTCAGGGAGAGGTGCCCTCGAGCTGGGCTTTGAAGGATGCACAGGAGTTCAAAAGCAGGGCTGTGAGGAGGAGCCAGGTGGGAGGGCGGGAGGTCAGCAGGTCCGAGCAGACCAGCTGTGGGGGAAGGAGGCTGGGGGAGCCAGGCCAGGGCGGCGGGAGGAGCTGGGGAGCAGGGAGGTGGCCGCCGCACAGGAGGGAGGCTGGGCCGCGGAGGCCCCGGGGCGAGGGGGCCGGAGAAGGCTCCGAGGGGGCTAAGATTTCGTCGGTGCCGTGTTCAGGGAGGTCAGCCCGGGAGCCACTCGGCTGGGGTCCCGGGAGCCCGTCCAGCACCAACGCCAGCTGGAAGGCTTCCCGGAGGCGGAGGCAGAGGGCCGAGCGTCTGACCGGAGGGTGCTGAGCTCCCTCCCTCCCTGACCCTTTGCCCACGGTGCCAGCTGGGCCTCAGGTGCGAGGGGCAGGGTGCCACCCAGGGCGGTCAGAGCAGGACGGGGGCGGGCGCCCGCCTCAGCTCTCCGCCCGGCCCCCACCAGAAGGGCGGGAGGGCCGGGGTGCCCGGTCCAGGAGGGATGGACAGGATGTGCACCGGGGAGGACTGGGAGGGCAGGACCAGCGGAGGGAGAGGAAGAGGCGGCGGCCGGAGCGGGGCTGGGCGGGAACGCAGACCTGGGCCCCCAGAAGCCACAGCAACGGATTCCGGGAACGCCCCCCCCCAGCCCCCCAGGAAAGCCCTGCCTCCAGCACACGCCTGGACCTCTGGCCTCACGTCCAGGGCCCAGCGGGTCTAGACCACATTCCCCGCCTCAGTGGGCCTCGCCGCCTCCCGCCCGGCTCCTTCCAGACCCTGTGGGAAGAGGAAAATCCTCCCCGAGTGAGTCACCCCGCCCTCCCCCACAGAGCACCTTCCTCCCCCGCAGCCAGCCCCTCCGGGGGCCGCTCCAGGGCAGCGGGTCTGGAGGCTGCGGAAGGCGCTCACTCCCACTCGGAGAGACGAGCCACATCGGTCTCCTCGGAGAAGCGCCACGTTCCCGCGCTTCAGGCCGTTGCCTGGGGGGGCCCCTCCAGCCCCTCCCCCACGGCCTGCCAGCCCCTCCCCCGCGGCCGGCCAGCCCCTCCCCCGCGGCCGGCCAGCCCCTCCCCCGCGGCCGGCCAGCCCCTCCCCCGGCCAGTGCGCATGTCCAGCCCAAAGGGTCGGTCCCGGCAGGTGAGCACTGTCTCAGAGAGCCCGCCCCGGCCGGGAGACACGGGTCCGGGCACGGGCACCCTGTGAGTTCACACGCGTGTACACACACGACTGGCACAGTCGCACCGGTGAGGGCCCGGCCAGGGGAGCTGGACCCCCCTCCGGGGGCCGCTCCAGGGCAGCGGGTCTGGAGGCTGCGGAAGGCGCTCACTCCCACTCGGAGAGACGAGCCACCTCGGTCTCCTCGGAGAAGCGCCACGTTCCCGCGCTTCAGGCCGTTGCCTGGGGGGGCCCCTCGGGGCCCACACCTTCGGGGGCAGAGCCGTGCTCCTGGGACGCCGCCCCCACGCTGCTCCTGCTCCCACTGCCCAGCCACAGCCAGCCCGACCGTCCCCGCACACCCTGAGCTGGGCCCCGCCGCCCGCTGACCCAGGGCCCTGCCGCCCCAGCGGACACCCCTGGCCGGTGCCCCCAGAGCCGGGACACCTCCCAGCGCATCCAGCGCCAGCTGTCACCGAGACCTGGCCGGCCTGGGCGGCCACCTCACCACATCCTGTTTGACCCGCTGAGTGTGAACACCCCCCCCCGGAGGGGGACGTATCCGGCCAGAGGCCTGGACCAACCGGAGCCCAGCTGGACCCGAGGAAATGGCCTCCCGGGCCCACCCCAGACACCGCCAGGCCCTGTCCTCAGGGCACCAGGGTCCTGCTTAGGGAGATGACGTGGGAGCAAGCAGACCCACAGCGGGCGGGCCCTCAGCCCTCAGCCGGGCCCCCCTGCCCAGACAGAACACAGCAGCTCACCCCACCCCCGCTCCGGCGCAGCCAGGGGCCCTCCGGTCCCCACAACCCCTGGCCACTGGCAAAGGCCCTCAACCAGGAGAGGCAGAAGGAGGTGAAGGCCGGGCCTGGGAGCAGCGAGCACCCAGGGTCACTGAGCACAAGCCCCCGAGCAGAAGCAGCCGCTGTCCTTCACAGAGACGGACACCCCCAAACACCGGCCTGCAACAGGAAGGAACCCCAACACGGCTCCGGCACGGCAGACTGTGCGCACCCGCCGCTCAGGGACAGCCAGACACGGAGGACAAGCGCTGTGACCGCTTCCACTCGGGCCTAACGCGGCCAAACGCACAGCCGGGGGGGGGGGGGGGGGCCGGGCGGGGGGGGGGGGGGTGTGACTGTGCGATGGGGGCGGGGCAGAGAAAGTTCTGGAGATGGCAGTGGGCCGGTTCACACGATGGGCATGTGCCTAATGCTGCTGAGCTGTGCACTGAATGCGGTCAAAAGGGGGAAGGTTATGTCATGTGTTATAACCACAATTAAAAATAGTCACTCCAGCAGGTTCATCAAAACCCAGCACGTCCTGTCTGCCCAAAGCACTACACACCTGCTGAGCATTCCCGGCCCAGAGTCCGGGATCAGAACAGACCCGCCGGGCATGGGCTCCCAGTGCAGCCGGCACCCGCACAGCCCAGGAGCCGGGGTCCCCCGGGGATCCCCTGGGGCAGCTCCCGGGAGCTCCCGAGCGAGCCTGAGTCTGGGTTTGGTCCTCTGAGGACAGTCCCCACGCCCCTTCCCCCCCCCTTCATCAGATCACCCCCAAACGTAGCTGTGGGCTGGTATCACAGGGACCCCCCGCTCGGGGGCCCCACCCAGCAGCCCAGAGAGTCTGTGGGTGCAGAGATGAGGTTTCCTGTGTCCTGGCCTCTGCTCCCAGCCTCCCTCCAATGCAAAACCTCCGGGGGCAGGACCCCCCAAACTCCCCAGCCCCTACCGGGACCGTGGCCTCTGCCAGGCACTCCCAGGCCGCCTGCGATTCCTGCCCGGAACGCGCCGGGAGAGCCCGTCCTCGGGGAGAGCACGCCCGCTCTCATTTCCCGGCTCCGGCTCCGGCACAGCAGCAGCCGGACAGCCCGGCCCATGCTGGGTCCTTCCCGGAGCCCAGCTCAGTGCCACCTGCCGCCTCGGGCCCCTCCGCCCTGGACAGTCTGCTCCCTGAGCTGCGGCCGCTGGCCCCCGCGCGTTCTAGGTCCCCATGGACGCCGCCCCCCGCCCCCATTCCGCTTTTCTCCAGAACTCCGTGGCAAAGCAGCTCCCGCCCCCAACCAGCACCGCCCGGGCGGCACCGGCCACACCAGGCGCCGGGCTACTCACCGTCCAGGCTCCTGGGCGGGGCCTCGGCCGAGGGCAGCAGGGGCCTGGGCTCCAGCCTGCTCTGCAGCTGCGCCAGCGCCAGCGGCGTGGGCTCCGCATTCTCCAGGGACGGGGCGGGGGCGGCGGGCGCCTCGGCCGCCTTGGGCACCTGGATCTCCACCCTCCTGGGGGCGGGCTCGGCCGTGGGGGCGGCGGGCGCCTCCGCCCTCCGGTGGGCCGGCTCCGGGGGCTTCACGATGGTGATCTCCGTCCTCCGGGGCGCGGGCTCCGGCGTCTTGTGGCCCAGCGCCTCGGCCCGCTTCAGGCCGAACCGCGAGGGCCCGGCCGCGCCGGCGCCCTCCACCTGCTTGGACGAGATGTCGATGGAGAGCTCCGTGCGCCGGGACACGGGCTCCGACTTGGGCCCCGCCAGCTCGACCCTCCGCAGGGGCGGCTTGGGGGAGCGCTGGCTCAGGGCGTCGGCGTGGCGGGCGGGCGGCTCCTGGAACTTCTGGGTGGAGCTGGCCACCGTGGCCCGGAGCAGCGGCGTCTGCACCCGGCGGGGCGGCGTGGAGTTGGGCGTGTCGGCCTCCTCGACCTCGAAGGATCTCTTCAAGGCTGGAAGACAGAGAGGGGGTGAGCGGGGGCCCGCGGCACCTCTCGGGGGGCAGCCCCCGCTGCAGGAGACTCGGGGGCACAGCCGTCTCAGGGGAGAGAGAAAAGGCTGGAGCCGGAAGGTGCCGGCCTCGCCGTCCCGCCACGACCACGCGTGGACCGGCCACGTTTCCACGTTTCCCACCGGACGCCTGGACCGGGGAGCCTGACCTCTTCCTCCGTGGCCTCCTCTCTCCTCCTCCCACACGCCCAACACAACGCCATCGGCAAACGCGCCACCGCCACCCCGCCCTCCCCACAGCCACAGCTGCCAGGGACACGCCCCCGGGACGGTGGCACCGGCCGCTCAGAACCGCGGGAGCACGGCCCGGCACACACACAGCGGCGCGAGGGGCTGACACGAGCATCGCACGGAGGGGAGGGGAGGGCTGGCTGGCCGCGCACTGGCCCTGAGCACCCAGACAACCCTCCGCCGCACACAAAGCCGGTGTCCCCGGGACAGAGGGGGAAACTGAGGCCCGGCTGGGCCACCTTCCTGCTACAGAGCCTGCAGCTCGCCCCGGCCGGTGAGGCTCAGCGGATAGAGCGTCTGTCTGCCTGCGGACGGAAGGGTCCCGGGTTCGATTCTGGTCAGGGCACATGCCCGGGGTGTGGGCTCGATCCCCAGTAGGGGGGGTGCAGGAGGCGGCCTATCCACGATTCTCTCTCATCGTGGATGTTTCTCCCTCTCTCCTTCTCCCCCTTCCTCTGAAATCAACAAAAACGTGTTTGTTCTTTTTTTAAAAAGAGTGGACAGCTAGACAGATATGAGCTGTGTGAGGCAGTCAGGCCCGGAGGAAATACGTGTGAGAGGTGACACCCCAAAGTTAGGTACTGAAGACAACAGACCCCCAGGGCAGGGAAGACCTGGGCGCAGTCTGACCGGAGCAGTGACCGGGGTGAAGGGGCCTCAGGGCCTGGAGATGAACACCCTTCTGAGAGATAAGATTAGGGACCCGCCAGGCCACTGAGCGGGGCTCCCAGGAGGCCCTCCCTTGGTTTGGGGGCCAGTCACCCACTCAGACCACATCTGAGGGGGTTCCTTTTCTGAAGTACAGTCCCGCCTGCCTTTGCTCCTTGTCTGTTTGCCTTCGTTCCCACGGGAAGACGAGGACGAGCGGACGCAGGGCCCTGTCTCCGGCCAGAGGCCCGGCCACCGGGACGCCCCTGCAGCAGGGAGGGGCGGGGATGCGGGGCTGACCCAGAGGCCTGTCTGCGGGCTCCAAGGCCCACGTCCTAAGCACGTGGTCTGGCCGTGCAGTTTCTGGTGGAATCAGGTGGAGCCGGCGCGGGCTGCCCCCCTCAGCCCCTCTCTGTCCTCACCCCCCTGCACCTGCTCCTCAGGCCCTGGGCCTGGGGGCCTGGGGGAGGGGACTGACTCCCACACCCACACCTCTGCCCCCTCCCCAGGCGGCGGGGAGGGGGCTAAGAAGTCAGAGGAGACCAGCTGCTCCTGGTTAGAAGCCCAGGCAGGTGGCCCAGGTCCAGCACACTCACCAGCTCCTTCCCGCCGGCCGGTCCCATCCACCCAGGGCCCCCAGCCCTCCCCTCGCTCGCCGCTCCCACCCCCAGCCCAGGGTTTTGAGAGCTCTACTGCTCCCTCCCCTTCCCCCCTCCCCGCCTGCTGCTGGCCCCAGGCCCCTCTTAGCAGCCGCCCTCCCTCCCCTCCACATTCCAGCCGGAAGCCCCGGCCCACTGGGGGGCAGGCAGGCGCCGGCCAGGGTGGGGGCTGCACAGGAGCCCCGTCCCCAACACCCGCCCCGGGTCCCGGTCCCCCGGCCACAGCGCTCCCAGGAGGCCCTCTCCGAGCCGGGACACAGGGCACAGGCCCGGGTGGCGAAGCCCAGCCACCCCGAGGCCCGGCAGGGACTGCGCAGCTCCCGGAGGGGGGCTGTGCGGACCTGGGGGCGCGTTACGGGAGCCCCAGAAACTGACGCTCGGGCCATGAGAAGGGTGAACCCCTGGGCTACCGCGGTCAGTGGGGCTGAGGGGCTCAGGCAGGGTCTGGGGAGGGCAGAGTGGGGGGCTGGGGGGCGGGGGCAGCGGGGGAGACAGGAGAGGCGCCAGGTGGTGACCGTGCGACCACTTTCACAGTTGTCGGTGTGAGTGCCATCGGCACGCGTGCACCGTGTGTGCGTGTGTGCGTGTGTGTGTGTGTGTGTGTGTGTGTACATGTGTGTGGTCACCCCCCAGAGTGGCCAAGCCGCACGGCCCTGCCCCACGTCCATCACCCCCACGGCCAGTACCCGCCCCTCCGCCCGGCGCCCCAGGTGGAAGGCAGAAGGGGAACCCTGCTCTCGGCCGCAGCTGGATCCACCCCCAACCCCGCCTGGTGGCCAGCTGGGGGCGTGGGGTGCGGGGTGGGGGTGCCCGCCGCCCTCCCCGTCTCGCTCTCACTGGGGGCCCCCTGGCACTGGATCCGGCACTGGATCCCCGTCTCAGGGCCCCTCAGGGCTCCGGGAGGAGGGGATGGTCGAGGCGGCGTGGGGAGGAAGGCTGGGAACAGGGGAGGGTGGGGAGGAAGGCTGGGAACAGGGGAGGGTGCGGAGGGAAGAGGGGGGCGGGGCCCTCAGAGAGCAACACGATCCAGAGGGAGGCGGCAGCGGAGGGGCCTGGGTGGGGAGCGGGGAGCGGGAACAGCACAAGTCCAAGTCCATATAAAGGAAGAGGCTGGAGGCACAGAGCAGCACCCACAGCTCACCCCCTCGGCCCTCCCGCCGCACCCCACGGCCACACAGCCCCTCCGACGCACCCCCTGGCACGGCCCCCCCGGCACGACCCCCCTGGCACGGCCCCCCTGGCACGGCCTGTCCCCTGGCACGGCCTGTCCCCTGGCACGGCCCCCCTGGCACGGTCCCCCGGAGGGTCTGGCCTCCCTCGCCCCCCTCCCCCGGCGAAGGAGGCCCCAGCTGACCCATTTCCACGCGGCCCCGGGGGGGGGATGAGCCGCGGGAGCCAACGACGTCCCTGAGGGTCCCACGAGGTCTCTCCACCCGGGGGGCCCCTCACACTGGTTCTGGTGACGGCCTCTGTCCAGGCCGGAAGGAAGGGGCTCCAGGATCCCCCTGCCGCCGGAGCACACACAGGCAGCGCGTCCAGTCCTCAAAGAGCACGGAGCCGGGGCGCAGGCGCGGTGACCCCGGTACCCCCATGCAGACGGGAGCCCCGAGCAGCTGCGGGCCACAGCCGGCCCCGGGATCCCCGCCCTCGTCCTACTCCCCAACGTCCTTACGTCATGTTCTCCCGGAAAAGCTCTCCAGCAGCCTTGCAAAGGGGGGCGCCGGCGGATCCCCCAGCCCCCCCAGCCCCCCCAGCCCCCCCCAGACCCCCGGCCAGGTCCTCCCGGAGCCGCTGTGCTGCCTGAGTCCCAGCCCGGAACGGGCGGCGGCTGTCGGGAAGCGGCTCTGCAGGGTCGCTCAGAAGGGTCTGGAGATGGCAGTGCCCTCGGAGGCAGCACAGGAGACACCCCGGGGAGACACACCCACGAGGAGGCCATGTGGACACGGAACAAAGACCCCAGTGGTGAGTCCACCACCCAGGGCAGCAGAGCGGCCTGGAGGAGGCGCCCGCGCTCCGAGCCTCCAGCAGGAGCTGGCCCTGCCCACGCTTCGATTTATTATTACTTTTAATATATGTTTTTATTGATTTCAGAGGGGAAGGGAGAAGGAGAGAGAAACATCCACGACGAGAATCATGGATCAGCCGCCTCCTCCACGCCCCACACCAGAAACCCAGCCCGCCACCCAGGCCTGTGCCCTGACCGGGAATCGAACCCTGGCCTCCTGGCTCCTAGGTCGGCGCTCCACCACGGAGCCCGCCGGCCAGGCCACACGCCTGAGCTGGACGCCGGGCCGCTGGGCCTGGGACACCCCATCTCTCCGGTCTGAAGCCCGGGTGGTGGCACTTGGACAGACCAGCCTAGAGACACCGCGCCCACAGGGCACAGGAGGCCGGCCTGCCTCACGTGGCCGTCTGTGGACGTGGTGCCACGGCTGCCCCCCGCCCCCCCGCTGGGACAGGGCCCACGCACCCAGCCCCAGGGGACGGGACGGCCAGCCCACTCCTGCTGCCCGTCATTAGTCAGGGCGCCCATCCCCTCCCAGGAGGGTCCTCACTGGGCCACCTACCGCAGAGGGTTCACCCCTGGCGGTGCCCGCCCTCCTCACCCCCCCAAGAGAAGCCCTGACAGTGAGACGCCCCCAGGAGGGCATCTTCCCGGAAAGCCCCCCTCAGAGGGCACCCCCGGGCACCGGCCTCCGGGTGCTTGTCCCTGCCCCTGCCCCTGCCCCTGCCCGGTTCTGGCAGCGCCAGGTCATTCCAGGCCCCTTCAGACGTCGCCCCGAGATGCCGCACTCCCTGTTCTTTGACTGAAGGAGCGGACGGAGCAGGAGCACGTTTGGAAGCGGGTGTTTGGACCGGTCTGTCACCTGCCTTCCCCCACCGCCCGCTGGCTGCTCCACCCAGAACCGGACGAGGGCTGGACGGGCAGAAGGTGCAGCGGGGAGAGGCAGAGAGAGAGAGGGAGAGGGAGAGAGAGAGGCGGAGAGAGAGAGGCAGAGAGAGAGAGGCAGAGAGGGGGAGAGAGAGAGAGAGGCAGAGAGAGAGGCAGAGAGAGAGAGAGGCAGAGAGAGAGAGGAGAGGAGGAGAGAGAGAGAGGCAGAGAAAGAGGAGAGGGAGAGAGGGAGAGGCGCAGGAGGAGAGGCCAGAGAGAGAGAAGGGGAGGGGCAAGAGAGAGGGGCAGAGAGCGAGGGAGAGGCGAGAGAGAGGAGGCAGCGAGAGAGAGAGGAGAGAGAGGGCAGAGAGAGAGAGCAGAGAGAGAGGGCAGAGAGGGAGAGAGATGAGAGAGAGCAGAGGCGAGAGAGAGAGGGAGGGGGACGAGAGAGAGAGGGAGAGAGAGGCAAGAAGAGGGAGAAGAGAGAGAGGCAGAGAGAGAGAGAGGGAGAGGAGGGGGGGCAGAGAGAGAG